TAATCTTGGTGTCTAAGCTTTTTTTCTTAAAAGGCTGTTAATTTGAGAGGTTGCCATGCCTCCCTGGAAGGGAAAGGGTGTTGCTCCCTTCCGCCTTTTTACCCCCCAGCAGTAAGGTGGCCACCACCTCAGAGCTTTTTGGAAAGCCAGGTATGAGCCAGTAGTGACGGGGCAACTGCAGTCTCATGGGAAGGGGGATGGTACTGGCTCGTCATTCATGCCCTACCGAGGACACAAGTTGCCCCCGATGAGTGACTCTCTGGTACGGCCATGGGTCCAGAGGCAAAAGGACTTAGTCCAGAGCGCAGCAGCTTGCGGAAAAAAGTGAATGGGCCCTGCTTTAAACTACCGCACCTTGCCTCCCCAGGAGTGAAAGGGTTTTTCTCCCTTCTGCCTTTTTACCCCCCAGCAGCAAGGTGGCCGCTGCATCAGAGCTTATAGGAAAGCCAGGTATGAGCCGGCCGTGACAGGGCAACTGCAGTCTCATGGGAAGGGGGGCGGTACCGGCACGTCTTTCACACCCTACCAAGGTCACAAGTTGCCCCCCATGAGCGGCTCTCGAGCTCAGACATAACACAAGACAAACAGAAACCAATCTCGTAATTATCTGACTCTTTGCAGAAATACAAAATCGTATTATATGATTCTCATAATCAGCTATAGAAAACAAAGTTTCTCAATGTCTTTTCAACAATTCTGATTGTTGGGGGGGAAATTCTAAACAATAAAGGTGATCTTCTGTCGAAATAATGAGTGTAATCAATGTAGAGAAGAGTTAAATAGAAATTATCTGCCTCACAGGCATTGGGAGGGGTTGGAGGGGAGTATATTGGGGTTCTTGGTGGTGAAAAATGAGTACTGGTGAAGGGAAAGGTGTTTGATCATTGTATGACCAAGACTTAAACCTGAAAGCTTTGTAACTTTTCCCACAATGATTCTGTCACTGTCACTGTCCTCCCGTTGTTCATCAATTTGCTCAAGCGGGCCCAGTAACGTCTCCATTGGAGACTTTTGTTGTTACTGTGTTTGGCATATCGAATACACCACAATGATTCAATAAATAAATATAAGAAGAAAAAAATAAATAAAATTATGAGAAAAGAAAGTAAGATGGAGTTCATGCCCAATTCAATCAACTAATCGGTGACTGAATAAAGAGCAGTACTCCTACATAAAAAAAAAATACTCTTGGGAATAATGACACTTTTGGCAGAGAAAAGGTAGATTTCATTTAATTTCATATACTTTTTCAGGTTTCATGAGAGTATGTGATATATGGCAAAATAGTATGTTATTGAATGCAGTGTGTTCATCCTAAGATTTCAAGAATCATTTGAAATGGAAATCAAGATTCTACATTAAAAATTTAAGTGAGCAGCGCAGAAGCAGATCTCACTTTCCTCAAGAATATTTAAAGTGCTTTTATATGAAAAAATTTAATCATATCAGACATCGAATATTAGATCTATTTCAGAGTACATGCCATTCTTTTCTTCAAGAGGAGACAGAAAAGTAGACATAAGTTCATTTTTTCCCTTTTTTAATGTAGGATTACTGCTATTTATTCAGCAGTTGATTAAACAGATTGAATTGGGCATGAACTCCACATTATTATTATTTTTTATTGAATTGCTATGAGATAGTTTCAAAACTTTCGTGTTCGATATTCAGCCGTATAATGATCAGACACCCATCCTGTCCCATCCCTTCACCAGTGCATAATTTCCACCACCAATGTCTCCAGTATATCTGCCAACGCCCCCCATCCCTCGCCAATTCCAGTGCTCACCCTGCCTCCATGGCAGGCAGTTTTCCCAATACTCTCTCGCTACTTTTGGGCATTATGCTTTGCTAAAATTTTCCCACCACCATTCAAGCCTATCTGCCAGGGCCAGATAGTAGATCATGTATTGCCCATTGCTCATTTTGAATGTCATGGGTGCTGCATCCAGTGCTTCTGGAATCCTAGATTCTAAATGGCAGGGTTCCAGAGACTTTTCTGTAGGACACAATTCATTTGGGGATTCAATTGGGCATCTCTGAACCAGGGCTATTGGTGCACTAAGACGACACCTGGAGGCACGTTGTGGGGCTGACAGCCAGGCCGATGAGCAGGTGGGGAGCCAGGGAGGGACAGTCCATCGCCTCTGTCACCATGCAGCATGGATAGTTAGTCCTTTAACCTGCATGCCTGAGCCTTGCTTCTGGAAGCTCTTGGTCGCCAGATTCCATCTGGAGTAGGCAGGGAGAATGCACATGCTCCATCTGGGGTGCCCTGGTGTAATTGGCTTGAATTGGGACCCAGAGAGATCTCTAGCTCTGTGGTGTTTTCTGGGACTCACCTCTGTGTCACTGACTTTTGATCTCTTTTGAGATTTATTTTTGGGTCTCTGAAGCAAGGGCAGTAATAGAGTTCACAGGGTGCTGCTGGAGTTGGTTCGTGGGAGTGACTGCCAGTGCTTCCATGTGTATTGGGAAGTGGGGGAGGTAGGTCACCCCAACTCCATGAAAGTCTGGAGATTTCAGTCACAAAAATCTGCATACCCAAATTTTCAGCAGATTATATCTTGGTGAGGTCCGTCCCGAGACGGTAGAGGTATTGCGGTGATTTTGGAATGTGGAAGCAAGAGGCTGCTGGGGGCTCTGCTTGGGTGGACACAGGCCAACCTCACCCCTCTGCTTTACCCCAATCTGTTCAGCCATGTGCGGGTATGAGAGTAACTGTGGCTTTTGATCTCTTTCGAGATTTATTTATAGTTCTCTGTAATAAGGCCAATAAACGAACTTGTATAACTGAGCCGGAGGTGATTTGTGGGCATGGCTCCCAAAGACCTAATTTTTGACTGTTTAATTTCTTGGTAAACTTGGTCCCAAGTTGTTGGGGTCTGGTCAAAGGCACAGGGGCAATTTTGGAGTGTCAGGAAGCCTGAAGGCACCATCAGGCTGCTGATGCACTCACCCCGTAAGTACAGGTTGATCTGTTTGTGGCATCAAACCCCCTAAATTATTTTCCTACAAGTGTATTTTGTGCTCTTTTATTCTGTCATACTGCATAAAATACTAGTTTAAAAATCATGTCCCACTCTAAGATTGGATTTTAGTCAATCTGAGATAGAAATATAAGTTGTGGGGAATAATCATTATAAGAAAGTTAGGGGGAGACACTTTTCTGAATGGTCATATGGTCTTGATACAAACAAAAAGACAATTACTTGAGATATTGTCCTATGTCTGTAATTTGTGAAAGTTATAGATAAAGGTTTGGCTTTACCAGTTGTCTTTAACAAAGTTATAAGGGGAGTATGTGTATTTTCCTGTTTTTGTCAAAAACCAATTGCTATTTTGGCAAGAGATGATACACTGTAGATATACCTAATATACTGTGGATAAACCGGAATTTTTTTGTTAATCTTTGAATTCTCACCAGAGGTATGGTCTAAATAGTCAAATTAAGGAAAATCATAATTTATGCTGTCACAATTGAAGGAAATTTTCCTCTGGTCTGTTGGCATAACAGTGTAAAAATCCTATCAAACCGCTCTGTGTTTTCTCGTTATAGCATAAGAATAAATAGAAGCTTAGAGATTTCGGTGTTTCCCTAGCAGTCAAATGTAATAGAAGTTAAAATAGATAAATTTTTTTTCCTAAAATTTGATTTCACCTTCTTAATTGTAGACAGGTTATGCTTTTAATTTAATAATTAGCTAATATTTGAAGGAGAGAGCTGGGACTTGTTATGATTATTTCAATGGAAGAAATGGGTATATTGTTAACCAACCACCACTGTGCTTTAGTAGTAACATTTCTATGAGTTCAGATATTTATTGTCTGGCTATCTTGCTATCTTTATCTCCCTACCTCCTACTTTTCATGTTTAAGAAAAGAATACATGCTTTACCATTGTTTGACTATTATTTGGTAAGTTTCTTGATCTTTCATAAGAAATTATACTAGAATTTTACAATATGCATTGTAACTTTTAAAACAAAAAACCTACTTTATTTAAGAAGTAAGTTTTTCCTCTCTGGAAAGAAAGATGGCGGCCGCACGGGAGCCTTGTGGACAGCAGGTTTGAGCCGGGGGTGGGGGTGGCAGGGACCTCATGGGAAGGGGGGCGTTCCGGTCCGTCCTTTACGCCCTACCGAGGTCACCAGTTGCCCCCCACGAGCGGCTCTCCGGCACGGCCACGGTCCCAGAAGCACAAGGACTTAGCACAGAAAACCAGCCACTTGGAGCAGAAAAGCGAATGGACTATGTGTTAAACTGGGCCATCATGCCTGCCCAGAGGGGAAAGGGTGTTGCCCCATTCGCCCTCTCCTCTCTGGAAAGAAAGATGGCGGCCACACGGGAGCCTTGTGGACAGCAGGTTTGAGCCGGGGGTGGGAGGGCAGGGACCTCATGGGAAGGGGGGCGTTCCGGTCCGTCCTTCACACCCTACCGAGGTCACCAGTTGCCCCCACGAGCGGCTCTCTGGCACGGCCATGACTCCAGAGCACAGAAACCAATCTCTTAACTATCTAACTTTTAATAGAAATACTTCCAGGGTTAATAAGTAAAATAGCAGAAATCCAAAACCGTGCGGCTGACAACATTTAATTCTTGAACCCAGCTGTAGAAAGCAAATCATTTCACAACGCTTTTTCAGCATGTCTGATTTGGCGGGGGGGGGGGGGTGTCGTAAACTCTAAATAATAATGGTGCATCTTTTATCGAAACAATGAATCTAGTCAAAGTAGATAGAGTGTTAACTAGAACTCATCTGCCTCACAGGAATTGGGAGGGGTGGGAGGTGGGGTTCTATTGGGGTTCGTGGTAAAAAATAAGTATTGGTAAAGGGAAATGTGTTTGATATTTACATGACTGAGACCTAAACCTGAAAGCTCTGTAACTTTTCTCACAGTGATTCAATAAATAAATAAATTTAAAAAAAGAAGTAAGTTTTATTAATATTCAACTTTAATTGCTTTTTAGTTATATGTGAATCCATTTGATGTTTTTAGGAGAGAGTGATCAAAGGAGAACTTGAATGACAACTCTATGATTGAAATTATCCAAGATCAACAGTGTCTATACTTTTTCAACTATATTTGAATAAATTCAGGTAAGAGTAAGTGATTGTTTATATATTTTCCAACATTTTGTGGAAAGGGCTGGAGACTATACATTTTTTTTGTTTTATACCAAATATTTTAAAAGTAGCTTTGTTATGGAAAATCAGATGAATATTTTTCAAAAAAACCTTTACATGTTTTTTATTTTTCCCCTTTTTATGTTTTTCTGTATTATTTTATTCTGTTGCTTTGTTGTTTTTTTTCTCTTCAAATGCAATATAAACATGCGTTGAATTTCTTTATTAGTTCTCTAGCAGTATATTTTATTTGAGAAAAAAATTATACATTTGTTCAGTTAACATAACATATATGGTTTAAAGTATTCTTATATTTATTTTTATTATCAGAGAATATTCTCATTGGACAAATTGAAGTATACATCATCATGAAATTTTGGAGTTACTTAAATTTAGTATTAGTGACTATAAGCTAAACTGTTCAAAGGCTTTTAATTCGTATTGCTGAATTTACTTCTAGCAATTGGTAATGAATTGCAGTTTTTATTAACTATTTAAAATGTTTGTTGATGATTATTAATTAAAAACATGTCTTTAAGAAAAACTAGTTTGTATCAGAAAAAAATGCAAAATTAAATAAATTTGATTATAATCAATAGCATTCTCTACTTATACAGTCAGTGCATTTTCTTATATAAACACCTAGAAGAAAAGTGATTATTATAAATGTATAATCCCATACTACCTAAAAATATATCATTGACAAATGACAGCTAGTATATATTTCTTTAATTAATATTTATTGAAAAATCACTGAAGTAACACTTAAATATTGAGGTTTTTTAAGTGATGGAGGTTATGGTAGATCAAGAAGTAGCAGAAATAATTTCTGCCTCTTTTAATTTTCAGTGATATGTGGTAAGATTAGCACATTTTAGTTCTGTGGGTATAAATAGGATGTTTTAGTGCCTCCAAAAATAATAAAGGAAAGTGAAATGTCAGTTGCATTGATAATATTTTTTAGTTGGTGAGTGAAGACCACTTAAGTTCTTTTTAGAGAAGTTAGGACTTTGGAAGGTGAACACGGAAATAAACGACAGGAGCAAACTGAAGTAAGGATTCAGATATATTGGAGCAGTGCTGCTATTATTCTATTAATTGAGAAGATGAGATCAATAAAGTAGACGTAGTGAGAAAATTGTTCTGAGTTTCCAGTTGCTGTTTCAGGCATTTATATCTCATCATTAACTGGTGAGGGATAGTTTAAAGAGGGGGATAAGCTGCATTGCTTTTAAAAGGCTTTGTCTAGAAGTTTTCTGAGTCTCAGGCTTAGCAAGAAAGGGCAAATCCAAAGTAGAAGAGAATATGCAGTCGTTTCCATTAGCATTTGATAAGCACTTGCTGTGTGTGAAGCACTAGACTAAGGACTGCAGAAAAATAGATGAAGACAGTTCTCACTGCTGAAAAGTTTATATTGTAATGGATGAGATGTGCATGGCTAACAAATCTAATACAATGTGACAGTATAACAAAGGAACCATATTCTATGGAAAAACTCTTGAGTAAAGAGTTATGTTGAGATGTAGATTCTGGGTTACCAAAGGATGAGGTTTTTCCAAAGACATTAATTCTGATCAAGGTTACTCAAGAAGCAGTGTTTCTATGCTTGCAAGAATTAAGCAGTGGTGAGGGTGTTCTAGATAAAAACTAGCTTCTGATAAGATATGAAAGTGGTAGGATGTTAGGACCTATCTTAGGCAAGAGGAGCATCATGCTGGAATCAACAAAAGTAGAAAAAACAATTAAAATATTTTTTAGTATTGCAAAATATTATAAACTTGGTTTTGAACACTGAGGATTGTTCTGCTATTCTTGTTTACTGCATTTTGTCCATATTTGTACTATAGTAATAAGAACGTTAGAATAGCATTGTAATTTTTAATAAGTAACCTTTGTGTATAAAATATATAACTTTAGCTTTTCCAGTAGCACTAAAGTTGATATATATATACACATATACATATACACACATATACATATATGTATATGTTCTTGCCTTAAGGGTTTAGATAAAGTTATAGAAATTCTGGTAATAAATTTATTGGAACATTCAACTTCAGGAAGTCTTTGCTGAAATATAGAATCTGGATGGGCCCTTTCTCTATATGCTACATTCTTTAGTACCATTCAATTTTCTCTGTTATAAAATACACTTATATATGCAACTCATTCATATAATATATAACAATTCTATAATATAAAATCGTCTTGTTTTTTCATTTCCTGATATCATAGTATACCTGAGACCCGGATCCCCTCTTCTTGGTATAGATATAAATTTACATGTAAAGGTGACTACAATGTTTATTGGTCATAGTCTGTACATATTTCTTTTTAGGGTACTCTTAGGGACTGTTCTGAGGTCTCGGGGTTCATTTTCTGTGCCATTCGTCCAGTAAGGCTGGAAGGTTCAGTACAAGAACCAGGCACTACAGTGCTACTCAGGCCCAGCATTTATGTGGACACTAGGGCCATTCTTGGAGTACCTGGGGACCACTAGATCCTCATCCGGCAGTGCTCAGGAGGCCATTCAGTGCCAGGGATCTTGCATAGTTCCATGTGAATGGACCACTGACCCTTGAGCTATTTCCCTGGTTCCTTATCAATACGTGCGTAATTGGATTCAATTTCTTGGGTTGTCTTTGTAGGGGAGGAAGGGAGGGAGCAAGAACACTTGGTAATTCCCAGGATCCACTCCACACAGGGTGTTTGAAGGACACATATTGGGCTCAGACTTGGGATTCCCATATGCAGAGTATGTGCTCCAGCTCTTTGAGCTCATGCCCAAACCTTTGTGACTAGTATGAGGTACTGTTAGCCCTACATAGACATTTTTATGTGTATCATGTTAGTTTTGTATTTCTATATAATACATTGCTTCAAACCATAGCAGGTTAAAATAGCACTTACATGCATATTATTTCAGAGTTTCTGTAGGGTAGGAAGGAATTAGGCCATAACCTTGTTGATGCCTCTGGCTTTAGGTTTTAGGATGCTGTAATTAAGTTGTCAGCTGGAGGTACTGTCATTCCCATGCTCAACTGGGATTGAAGCATTCACTTTTAGTTATGGAGAGCCTCTTTCTGCAGGTCTGGTTTCCCATGGGACATGCAATGCAAAAGTGAGAAACCATGATTACTGCTGCTTTCCTTTATAAATAGATCCAGGCTGAGGACTAGGACATCTGTAGGGAACAGAATGCTGACCTCCAGAAAGACACAGTCAAGTGGTAACCTGTGTTAAAACTGGAAAAAGGCTTTGCAGAATTGAATTAAGAATCTTGCTGTGTGATCGATATTGACTAACTGGATGAGACTTACATCTGATGACATGTGTCTTAATGAAATGTAAGAAGGAGACCATCTGCTGGAGGTACAAGGACAGGTGTGATGTCCCCACAAATTGAGGATTACCTGGAACTACTGATACAGGAGCAGTGACAGTGGGTCACTGAGTTCATCCACTATTCCCAGGTTCTTCAATATTTTCAAGAGTGACATTATTGAGTAGTAAAGATGCTCAAAACTCAGAGTTGGAAAGTACAAAGTATATTGGAAAGTAGAAGAGAAAGGGAAAATAACTCCCCACAGGGAGAGGAACTTAGTATAGGACTAAGTTAACTATGACTTATTTTATGGGTGTTTTTGAATAGCAAAACTGAATCTTTGTCTTAAAGAGACTGAAGGGAGTTAGCTGGTTTAAGTCTTTCTGCACATTTGCCTCAGGCATTGTCCATTAGCTTAGTCTCCCTGTCAGCTTGAACCCTGGAAGAATTTTATGGTCTGGGAGAATTCTAGGAATGTTAAGACTGGACCTTGGGGATGAGGTTTGTGTTAGGTTCATAGGTAGAAATGGAACTGCTGGCAAGGGGAAATTGAGACTTCCATTTTCACCACAAAAAGTGCAAAAGGCAAGGAGCCAGTTATTCCACAGAAACTCTGTAGGAACTGCAGACTGGCTAACAGCTTAATTTCAGATTTCTTGCCATTGGAATTGTGAGAAAATAAATTTATTTTAAGATATCTAGTTTGCAAAGAAATGAATACAGCACTGCTTCAATCTTCCATCTTCTAAGTTCAGCCCAATTTCAAGGGCAGGGAATCACAGAAAAGTTTGAATACCTGGAATTGGTGATGATCTGAAACCCTTTAGCAGATGACCACTTATCAGCTTTCTGCATAGCTTTTTTATTTTGGCATATCTATGTAGATGAACCAACACAGCAAGTCAGAGGTTAAAATCTATCCCATATTCTTAAAAATCTTAATTTTTTAAAAATTTTGTATTTCCTATCTCACTGATCAGAACACTTCATTTGGAGAATGAAATTGGAAAATAGAGTCATTTTTAATTCTCTTTGAATAACCATAGCCTTTTATTAACCAGTCTTTTTCAATCTGTCCTGTGTTAATCATTTATTCCTTTTACAATTTCTCTTCTACCATTAATAGGCTTCTATGATGTTTTTCCAAAAAATATCAGAATAGCTCCTAAATGATTAATCTGGTTTTATTTCTTCAAATCTTTCCTGAAAAGTGGCTTTCGAAAAATCCAAATAGTATTATGTTGTTCCCATTATTTCAGGAACTAGAAGTTCCTTATGATCTAGTTCTCCAATCTAACCTCCCTTTATATTTTTTAATATAGCTCTAAAACATCATATACATTTTTCCAAGTTTATTTTTTATGTTTTGCTTTATTTAATTTTAGCTGGCTTTGCCTGTGATTTTCTTTATCCAGTAATCAAAGTAAGAGTTTGCTGTCTTTTTTAACATTCAAAATACCTAGCACATTTATGATATAGACCAGCAAAAGTGGATTTTTATCTGTTGTAAACTTCCAAAGATGAAAGAGTTAAAAAGAGGCCTAGTAAGAAAGTGGCTAAACTTACAGACAAGCCCCAAATGGAAAGCAAATACAAAAGAAAAGTCCAAACTCTCCAACAAGACTACCTTTAAGGATAAGATAAAGGA